AGTAAACCATGTGGTTGTCAGATTCAAAATAGCCAATACCAGTCCATTTCAGCTCACTTATGCCTAAGATATCGATGTTGATGTGTTCCATTTCATTTTTTACAACTTCCAATTTTCCCAGATTCATACTTCATACATTCCATGTCCCGATTTTCAATGGATGTTTACAGCTGTTTCTCTTCATTTTGAGTTGTGACCCATCAGCAAATGAAGGTTCTGTGCACTTTTCTCCCCCGACCTTAATTGTTTCTCTACTATTCATATAGAGTTTTCAGTGACTAGCGATTTGGAAGTAGTTTGTCACTCTTTCTTCCTAGTCTGTCTTTGTCTGTAAGCTCATCTGAAATCTGTCCACTGTGGGTGACCCTGACGGTTATTTAAAATACCGGTGGCACAGCCCTCAGAATCACAGCAATTCAAGGCACCACAGCATGACAGACAGACGAGTGGTGGCCATTAGAGGGATGCAAATCAAAACAACACTGAAATATCATCTCATAACCAGCAAAGATTAAAAAAAAGTAGAGGACAATACATGCTGGCAGGGATGTGGAGAAACTGGGACACTCCTGCATCGCTGGTGGGACTGCAAAATGGTCCAACCTCTACGGAGAGCAATATGGCGCTTCCTAAGAAGGTTCCTAATAGAAATACCTTATGATCCAGCAATTCCTGTACTTGGTATTTACCCACAAGAAGTACAAGCCACAACACGAGAAGATATATGCACACCTATGTTCACAGCAGCACTATTTACAAAAGCAAAAAAAGGAGACAGCCAAAGTGCCCATCAACTGAAGAATGGATAAACAAACTGTGGTATATACACACACAATGGAATATTATACTACCTTGAAACATAACAAGGAAGCTGCAAGCCACCACATAATATGGATGAATCTTGAGGACATTATGTTGAGTGAAGTTATTCAGTCACAAAAAGAGAAATAATACATAGGACCACTACTGTTAAAGACTATGAAAAAGAACCCATACTGGGGGTGGGAGTGGGGGTGTATTTTTTGCTGGGTCCCGGGACGTGGGGGTGGGGTTGGGGTGAAGGAAGGGAGGGGAAGGTGGAGCACAGGGCAGGGAATAGACACAGAATAGTTTGGGTGTTGGGAGTGGGGGCAATATACAAAAAGGGAGAGA